TTGGCTCCATGGTACCCTCTGCTTTGTGGTGTTCTGTTTTTACGGCCATCGATGATTTGCTATTGGTTTTTCTAAGGCAATACCGTTCAAGAACCGGAACCAGAGAACTTTGTTCGGCTTTACCCATTTCTTCGTTGTATTCTTTTTCATATTCGTTGGAAATGAAGGGACCATCTGTACGTAGAGGCTTTCCTTCTTTTTCCTCTTCTGCTATGTTTTCTTTTCCTCTAGAATCGTTGTCGTAATCAACATCCCCGTATCCGCCGAACATGTTGGGGCCTTCTGCACGTGAATCCATTCGTGCTTCACCGAGTGCTTCATAGCTCAGGGCGGATTCTTCTTCTTCTTTCCGTTCCTCAAAATGAGGACTTGCCGGCGGGAACAATTTCACAATATTTACTTCTAAGCAAGGAATCTGCTTTAGTTGAGCAGCATCATGTTTTATTCTTAAATTTTCCACTTGTTTAGACATGTCATCTCTCTCAGCTTCCAAGACTTGCCGCGCTCTTTCCGAGCTAGCCAATTTTTCATTGACTTGCTCTAACTTCATTTTCAGATGTCGCACTTGATCTTTCTGAACACGATGTTTTTCTTCGAATTGTTCATCTTTGGCCCGCAGGTTTTCTTCAGATTTGGCGAGCAGATATTTTTCGTGGGCCTTCGCATTTCTCAATATCATTTCACTTTTTTCAACTTCGATTATTAATTGAGAACGCAATTCGATTGCTTGTCCCTGCAGAGATTGAAAATTGTTTTCATAGGCTTGCATTTGTTCGTGCAAACCATCTTCTAATTCTCTGTCGTAATCTTCCTTTGTTTCGACATAGTTAAGTTGTCTGTTTTCTTCCACTTGCTCTTCCCAAGTTAAATAGTCACAGCGAGAGTGTCCATCGTAATGGGGGTTTCATCGAATCTTCGATTTCTTCATCGATGTCCAAGTCTGTGTTATTGCGACTCCGGGTTGCTAAAAGCTTCATTGCTGATAACATACACATGTCCACATCACAGGACAATGTCTTCATATGGGTTGGAAAGCATTTGTGGTGTACCCTCAAGTACCGTCGTAACTGGTAATATGAATTTTCTACCAGTACCTTCCATGCCGCGACGTGTTTCACCTTTTCAAAGGCTGACGTCGACGTTAACAACTGGAAATAGTCTGCCAAAGTGGTGATATCTTCTTCAATTTTTTTATTCATTTTTAATTTAAATGTTTTAGATGGGACTATTTGTCCTCTTTTAAAAAATTTTTAAATTGCCTTCTTGGCTTTTTCTATTTTTTTTTAATTTGTTTCTTTTTTATTTTGGACTTTTGATGTCCTCTTTTCAAATTTGTATTTTTTTTTTGTTTTATTGGGACTTTTGTTGTCCTCTTTTCGTTATGTGTTTTTTTTAATTTGCCCGTGGGTCTTTTTTAAATATATATGTTTAAATTTTGCCCTTATGGCTCTTTATAATTTTATCCCTCAACGGATTTTTATTGGTAGCTATTCTACTCTTTTTTTTTTTTTGAAGAATAGCTACTTCTGCTTGTAGTGAGTCTCTTACCACTGGTGGGGGAAAACTCCTAATATTTTCGTTTTGTGGTCGCTAATTCGTTTCACTTTGACAAAAGTGAAGGCACGATTGACCAATGTAAATTAGAATAGAGTCCAATCTCCCTCTTCGATTGTCAACTCTATCCCTTTTTCTGTGAGAAAAGAAACATGACCGCTTGGTTAGGGTGTTATTTCAATTCTGGTTTTATTTTTAAAATATGTTCCTTACGTACTACTGAAACTAATCTAACGCAGTCACACATTTGTTTTTATCTATTCTAATATTGAATGGAGAACATTGCAGGGCTGCTTGACATCTCATTCAAGTGGTCTTGTACATCTACTGAGCGCATCGATATATGTGCGTGTGGGTCATAACCTTTATTATCTCTCACATTATCGTATGCGTCAGCGCACAAGATCACCGAATTCTTCACATGTGATATTTTATGGCGGCTGGGAAATATTTAATTTTAGAACATTTATTTTTTATTGCTACATTTTCCCAGCGCCTCAATCGCACTCAAAAGTATGTACAAAGTATTTTGTACAGTAGGTCACTATAAGTCGATTTTTATCGTCTCTTTAGGATAGCTAAAATCGAAATAGCAGCCATGAAGGAGGATTTCGACGCTGTACAATCAAAGTTTAATAAAATTGAAAATATGTTTGCAAAATTTGAATACGGAGATGGTTCTCCGAAGAGAAAGAAAACTTCAGCTATTGCTCACGGTGATCATTTAATAAGTCTAAATACACCGATTGCGGATCCGCCACGCAATACTTATCTTCTAATCAAATCGGCGCTGTATTCATCTGCGAAAATTCTTTCAAAATTCAAGTCCTGCAATCGCAGTTGAATCTACAGAAACGATTGTGCCTCCTAGTTCCAAAATGTATTCTACTGTACAACCAGTACCAGTTAGCGCATCACCATCATCACCATCTGATCCTCCATCTATTGTAGTGTCTGAGCCCTCTCCTTCCACTAACAGCAACGAGTTTATAGTAGTTGCTCCCAGAAGAAGTATATTTGCATCTAGACTCCATTGTAATACTTCTGTAGAAAACATTGTTAATTATATAATGTCAAAATACCAGAATCTTAGTGATAATGATTATAAAATTGTTAAGTTCAATTTATAAACTCAAAGAGATATATACTCCTTTAAAATAAGTGTTCCATCTTACATGTTTGAAAATATATTAAATAGTTCATTTTAGCCTCAAGGTGTTTTAATAGCGGAATTTGTGTATATGGAAAGAACTAACCCTGTAAACTTAACTGTGTTACCTATGTCAAAAAACTAATTAAATCATTGACCTTCCTTTACCAAAACGTTAGAGTCCTTAATACTAAGCTTAAAAATATTTATTTGAAATCTTTTGGCTGTGAATTCAAAATCTTGATTTTCACGGAAACCTGGATAACACCAGATATTGATGATACTGAGATTTTGTCTGATCAATATGAAATTTATAGAAAAGACAGATTAAATTAAAAAAGGAGGGGAGTTCTGATACAACTGACAACTATAATATAGAATTTGTATCCGTTAAATTAATTGACGTCATTATTTTAACATGCTCCTATATTGCACCACATTCTGATGCAGAAGTTTACATTCGACATGCAGACGTAATAAAACAAGTCTTTACAAACTTCAAAATTTGAATTGATTTGCTTCGGTGACTTTAATTTACCTCAAATCACATGGGTTTCTGGTGAAAATAAAGTTGATTATGTACCAGTTTTGACAAATGCTACATTATCCAGTATGGATGTGTTCTGTGACACTATTTATTATCAATGCCTGCTCCAAATAAATTATATACGAAACAGTAAAGATAGAATTCTTGATCTAGTCTTTTCATCGCTGGTAAATGTTTCTCTAAAAGTTACAGGACGTTAAATGCACATGTGTCATACTTTTATATTACTTTAAATAAAAATCAGCCACATTCTCCTTATCTTAGGAAATTACGAAATATCACAAGTAAATTATTTGAAAAGCTCAAAAAAAAATATTCTATAGCTAGAAGTAAGTACAACGCTCAAAATTCAAGGTGTTACTCTAACTGTTTATCTTAAATGAGAAGAGAGTCAAATCATAAAATTGCATACAATTTTTTTAATTTAAAAACAAGAGTCCGACAATTCCCAGGTATTAAAAAAGTAAACTATATTCCTTTAATTGTTCTTACTGAGGCGGAAGTGTTGAATGGTTTAACTTCTTGGAAGTACCGCTTTTCCTCAGGTCCGGACGTTGTTCCTGCTAATATTCTAAAAATGGGTGCATCCGAATTGTACAAACCACTCACTAATATTTTCAATGATTCTTCAGCTTCAGGCTATTTTCCTTTGTTTTGGAGATCTAGTTTTTTAGTTCCTTACATAAATCTGGTAGTAGGAATGTGATTGAAAATTATGGGCGAATTGCAAAATTGAGTGCAATCCCAAAACTCTTTGAACTCTTAGTTGCACGAAGAATAACTCATTTTGTTTTACCTATCATTTCTCCATATCAACATGGTCTCGTCAAAGGAAGGTCGACTTTGACGAATCTAATGGAATTTACAGAAGGTTTTCTATGAAAAAACAAACAGATATAATTTACATTGATTTCGGCAAAGCATTTGATACGGTTGTACACAAATTATTATCACATAAACCGGATATGATGGGATTTCTAAATGTACTTCTATCATGGATTTTAGAGTTGGGTAGTTCCGGAACGAACTAGTTCAAATGAACTATTCCGACAGTGGAACGATCGGAACGAAATCCGCTTCGTTCGATAATCTCGTTCCGCAGTTCCCTGAGTTCATCTCGACTATGGACTTTCTTATTTGTTTAGATTCTGCCACAGTGGTAAACAGTTTAAAAACAGCTTAGCGTACAAAAAGAATTACGAAAACAGAGCAACCGTTAACGTAATGCTTTTTGTTCGCGAAATGATATGCTATTTAATATATCTATTTTGAGAATTGGCTTATGTTTACAAGATAACAAGTTATTTTCTCTGTTTACAGGAATGTAGAATACCTAAAACGAAATAAAATTTGTTGAATGAAAAAAATATATTGAAATCATTATTCTTTTTTAATTAGAAATTGAAAATCTCAAAATTTGCCATTTTGACCCATTAAACATGGGTGGAAATGGCAAATTTTAAGATTTTTTGCACTGACAAGGATCAGAAGCAAAAGCTGTATCTGGTTACAATAAAATTTGTAACAATTTGTTTCAGAAAACTGTCTGTTAACACAGCTTTTCGGCAGTTCATTGAGAACTTACAATATTTGGCGGGGAATCTTTGTGCTTGTAAAGACTTGTGAGCCAAATGTTGACGTAAAAATCCAAAAAAAAGACTTTAAAACGCTTTCCTTTGCTCTGTTCCAGAACTGCAAGAATCTGTACATGTTTACTATTTCCTTCGATAACATAAAGGGAAAATTGTTATCGGAGTATAAAATTGTAGACACTTGCAGGTTCTGGGACAGAGCAATTTAGTCACAAATTAGTTTAGGCCACAACAGTGTTGCATTTCATGCCGAAGGCACAAGGAAACATTAGAATCTTTTCGGCTTAATGGTCCCTTTCGTTATTTTTTCAAATATCTGTATTACTGGCGAATTCAAAAAAGCATAGTATTATATTTTTGTTCAAAAAGTGAAAACTGCTCCGGAAATTAAAGAATCAAACCTATATGCCTACATTTAACACTAAAACCATCGGTAATTACATACAAATTGTTTCTTAAAAGCCTAATATAACGCATTTTATAAATACCTACAGATTTGTACAAAATAAAATGTCGAAAAAAGGAAAGACCAGTGCAATTTGGATTCACTTTGATGAAGATGGTCCAAATAAAGCATTATGTAAATTGCAAATAAGTATTGCCTCGGGTTCGCTTAGTAACCTCAGGCGACATATGAGTAGAAGACACCCTTTTACGTCAATAAATATGGAAAGGCAAGCCCCTGCCGCAGTTTTACATGAGGAAATAGATGATATCGTGCAAACATCAGTTAATAATGACCAACCTTCCACCAGTACAATGCAAACTTCCTCCGACACCACGCAAACAATTTCCAGTGCCCTGAAACATTCCACATCACAACCAAACATCACACAATATATTCAAAGGCCTCCACCTATTCGCAAACAACAAAAAATTGACCGACAGTTGTTAAAGATGATAGCTAAAGGTCATCATGCTTTTCGTATTGTTGAGGAGCCGGAATTTAAAAATCTCGTCAGCCTCATTTCGCATTGTCCTAATTATGCTTTGCCGTCTCGAAAATCTTTGTCGAACAATCTCTTAGATAGCAAATACAATGAGATTCTGGCGAAATTAAAGGTCAGCACAGAGGCTGCATTTGCTGTTTGCATTACAACAGATGGATGGACCTCCAGGGCAAATTGTTCCTACCTAGCCATAACAGCACATTATATAGAGGGTACTGAGTTAACATCAAATGTATTGGCATGTATTGAATTTAATGAAAGGCATACGGCAGAAAATATTAAATGTGCGATAAAAGACGTTACTGATGATTTTGGAATATCGCATAAAATATCATCCATTTTAACTGACAATGCAGCGAATGTGGTGGCAGCTGCAAAACTAACAAATTGGCGTTGGATTGGGTGCTTCGCACACTCTTTAAATCTTGCTGTTAAAAGCTCATTGTCGAATGTTAGTGAGATTATAACCAAAGTACGCAATGTTGTTACATATTTCCATAAGAGTCCTAATGCATGGAAAATGCTAGCTGAAGCCCAAAAAACAACTTGATCAACCCGATTTAAAATTGAAACAGGATGTTGAAACTAGGTAGAATTCGACATATGAAATGTTTGAACGCATCAATTGTCTGAAAAGTTCAGTTATAACAACATTGTCGTTAACACGGCCGGACTTGGCATTAACATTCGATGAATGGGCCATTATTGAAGAAATTCTTCCCATCCTTAAGCCATTTTACCAAATGACAGTAGAAATATCGGCGGAAAAAAGTGTTACGCTTTCAAAAGTTTTGGTTCTATTCAACATCTTAGACCGAACTATTGGCTCAACAACATCAAAAAATGGCAACATAATCACAATGCTCTCCTGTCTGCAAAATGAATTATGGACGCGATTTGGTGATTATGAAAATAATTACCTTTACGCAGAAAGCGCAATTTTAGACCCACGGTTCAGGAAAAAAGCATTCAGTAACAATGTGTTGTATGAAAAATGTACTAGGAATTTGAGGGAAAAAATTGCAGCATAAGATTATCAAACATAGACAGTCATAGTCCAGCAGTCGCAGAAAATCCACAAAATGCCAGTGAACCCGACTTCTGGAAGTTTTTTGATGAAGACATAAATAGAACAAGGCCAGAAAATAATACTACAGCTGCAATTCGAGAATTCGATAAATACCTCAATGAGGAATATATTAGCAGAAAAATGAATCCCTTGGAATGGTGGCAAGAAAGAAAAAAATATATCCTAGAGTGTATATACTTGCAATGAGACATTTATGCATATCTGCAACTTCCGTGCCCTGTGAGCGCACTTTTTCTGCAGCTGGGCAAATCATAAGTGATAGACGCACATTATAAAATCTTGGCAAGGTGAATAAGTTTGTGTTTCTACATAATAACATGTAGAATATTCAAAAATCAATATAAATATATATTTTCCATAGTGACTAAAGTGTGAAACACATTTGTTACAAAAAGTACCTTTGAACTATATTTCTTTATATTTTTAGAAATAAGTTTTTTGACTGAAAATTTACCAAACAAATCAATAAAAATAATTTTTCAATTTAAAATTTTTAAATGTCTTTTAAGTTATACAACTTTTCTTATCTGTAATGGCAGCTGACGTTCTTCAGCTAAAATAGATGGGAGATATACTTGGGGAACCGCATTCATACGATAAATTGTTGACTGCATCAGTATGAATCCATTCTAATAACAAAAATATTTTTCAATTATCTCTTTGTGATTACATATATTATTCAAATGCAAAAAAAAAAAAAAACTTACCAATAAATATTTTAAGCAGGCATATTCGACTTCCGTCCATCCTCTTAAACAAATGATCCACTTTTATTTGCATTTTGTGCTCTTTGTACATATTGTGCCATTTTTTCACAACATGCAAAGAAAAACATATATGTGAAACAATTGAACTAAAAAATATTGGAACTGTTTGGTACAAAGGAACGAGATAAAGGAACTACTTCCTTTTTTGAAAAGGAACGATAAAGAGAGATCCGGTCAATGAACTAGATTGCCCAACTCTAATGGATTTCTTCTTATTTACAAAAACGGACACAAGCGTTATCTTAAGTCACATCATTTCTACAACCTTCCATCGGTAATTCACTATTCTAAAATCTTAATGTTAGCAGACAATGTTAAACTTTTTTGTAATATTGAGTCAGGCGTCCAAGCTTCACATTTACAAGCAATTTAGTCACAAATTAGTTTAGGCCACAACAGTGTTGCATTTCATGCCGAAGGCACAAGGAAACATTAGAATCTTTTCGGCTTAATGGTCCCTTTCGTTATTTTTTCAAATATCTGTATTACTGGCGAATTCAAAAAAGCATAGTATTATATTTTTGTTCAAAAAGTGAAAACTGCTCCGGAAATTAAAGAATCAAACCTATATGCCTACATTTAACACTAAAACCATCGGTAATTACATACAAATTGTTTCTTAAAAGCCTAATATAACGCATTTTATAAATACCTACAGATTTGTACAAAATAAAATGTCGAAAAAAGGAAAGACCAGTGCAATTTGGATTCACTTTGATGAAGATGGTCCAAATAAAGCATTATGTAAATATTGTAAATTGCAAATAAGTATTGCCTCGGGCTCGCTTAGTAACCTCAGGCGACATATGAGTAGAAGACACCCTTTTCCGTCAATAAATATGGAAAGGCAAGCCCCTGCCGCAGTTTTACATGAGGAAATAGATGATATCGTGCAAACATCAGTTAATAATGACCAACCTTCCACCAGTACAATGCAAACTTCCTCCGACACCACGCAAACAATTTCCAGTGCCCTGAAACCTTCCACATCACAACCAAACATCACACAATATATTCAAAGGCCTCCACCTATTCGCAAACAACAAAAAATTGACCGACAGTTGTTAAAGATGATAGCTAAAGGTCATCATGCTTTTCGTATTGTTGAGGAGCCGGAATTTAAAAATCTCGTCAGCCTCATTTCGCATTGTCCTAATTATGCTTTGCCGTCTCGAAAATCTTTGTCGAACAATCTCTTAGATAGCAAATACAATGAGATTCTGGCGAAATTAAAGGTCAGCACAGAGGCTGCATTTGCTGTTTGCATTACAACAGATGGATGGACCTCCAGGGCAAATTGTTCCTACCTAGCCATAACAGCACATTATATAGAGGGTACTGAGTTAACATCAAATGTATTGGCATGTATTGAATTTAATGAAAGGCATACGGCAGAAAATATTAAATGTGCGATAAAAGACGTTACTGATGATTTTGGAATATCGCATAAAATATCATCCATTTTAACTGACAATGCAGCGAATGTGGTGGCAGCTGCAAAACTAACAAATTGGCGTTGGATTGGGTGCTTCGCACACTCTTTAAATCTTGCTGTTAAAAGCTCATTGTCGAATGTTAGTGAGATTATAACCAAAGTACGCAATGTTGTTACATATTTCCATAAGAGTCCTAATGCATGGAAAATGCTAGCTGAAGCTCAAAAAACAACTTGATCAACCCGTTTTAAAATTTAAACAGGATGTTGAAACTAGGTAGAATTCGACATATGAAATATTTGAACGCATCAATTGTCTGAAAAGTTCAGTTATAACAACATTGTCGTTAACACGACCGGACTTGGCATTAACATTCGATGAATGGGCCATTATTGAAGAAATTCTTCCCATCCTTAAGCCATTTTACCAAATGACAGTAGAAATATCGGCGGAAAAAGGTGTTACGCTTTCAAAAGTTTTGGTTCTATTCAACATCTTAGACCGAACTATTGGCTCAACAACATCAAAAAATGGCAACATAATCACAATGCTCTCCTGTCTGCAAAATGAATTATCGACGCGATTTGGTGATTATGAAAATAATTACCTTTACGCAGAAAGCGCAATTTTAGACCCACGGTTCAGGAAAAAGCATTCAGTAACAATGTGTTGTATGAAAAATGTACTAGGAATTTGAGGGAAAAAATTGCAGCATAAGATTATCAAACATAGACAGTCATAGTCCAGCAGTCGCAGAAAATCCACAAAATGCCAGTGAACCCGACTTCTGGAAGTTTTTTGATGAAGACATAAATAGAACAAGGCCAGAAAATAATACTACAGCTGCAATTCGAGAATTCGATAAATACCTCAATGAGGAATATATTAGCAGAAAAATGAATCCCTTGGAATGGTGGCAAGAAAGAAAAAAATATATCCTAGAGTGTATATACTTGCAATGAGACATTTATGCATATCTGCAACTTCCGTGCCCTGTGAGCGCACTTTTTCTGCAGCTGGGCAAATCATAAGTGATAGACGCACATTATAAAATCTTGGCAAGGTGAATAAGTTTGTGTTTCTACATAATAACATGTAGAATATTCAAAAATCAATATAAATATATATTTTCCATAGTGACTAAAGTGTGAAACACATTTGTTACAAAAAGTACCTTTAAACTATATTTCTTTATATTTTTAGAAATAAGTTTTTTGACTGAAAATTTACCAAACAAATCAATAAAAATAATTTTTCAATTTAAAATTTTTAAATGTCTTTTAAGTTATACAACTTTTCTTATCTGTAATGGCAGCTGACGTTCTTCAGCTAAAATAGATGGGAGATATACTTGGGGAACCGCATTCATACGATAAATTGTTGACTGCATCAGTGTGAATCCATTCTAATAACAAAAATATTTTTCAATTATCTCTTTGTGATTACATATATTATTCAAATGCAAAAAAAAAAAACTTACCAATAAATATTTTAAGCAGGCATATTCGACTTCCGTCCATCCTCTTAAACAAATGATCCACTTTTATTTGCATTTTGTGCTCTTTGTACATATTGTGCCATTTTTTCACAACATGCAAAGAAAAACATATATGTGAAACAATTGAACTAAAAAATATTGGAACTGTTTGGTACAAAGGAACGAGATAAAGGAACTACTTCCTTTTTTGAAAAGGAACGATAAAGAGAGATCCGGTCAATGAACTAGATTGCCCAACTCTAATGGATTTCTTCTTATTTACAAAAACGGACACAAGCGTTATCTTCAGTCACACCATTTCTACAACCTTCCATCGGTAATTCACTTTTCTAAAATCTTAATGTTAGCAGACAATGTTAAATTTTTTTGTAATATTGAGTCAGGCGTCCAAGCTTCACATTTACAAGCAATTTAGTCACAAATTAGTTTAGGCCACAACAGTGTTGCATTTCATGCCGAAGGCACAAGGAAACATTAGAATCTTTTCGGCTTAATGGTCCCTTTCGTTATTTTTTCAAATATCTGTATTACTGGCGAATTCAAAAAAGCATAGTATTATATTTTTGTTCAAAAAGTGAAAACTGCTCCGGAAATTAAAGAATCAAACCTATATGCCTACATTTAACACTAAAACCATCGGTAATTACATACAAATTGTTTCTTAACAGCCTAATATAACGCATTTTATAAATACCTACAGATTTGTACAAAATAAAATGTCGAAAAAAGGAAAGACCAGTGCAATTTGGATTCACTTTGATGAAGATGGTCCAAATAAAGCATTATGTAAATATTGTAAATTGCAAATAAGTATTGCCTCGGGTTCGCTTAGTAACCTCAGGCGACATATGAGTAGAAGACACCCTTTTACGTCAATAAATATGGAAAGGCAAGCCCCTGCCGCAGTTTTACATGACGAAATAGATGATATCGTGCAAACATCAGTTAATAATGACCAACCTTCCACCAGTACAATGCAAACTTCCTCCGACACCACGCAAACAATTTCCAGTGCCCTGAAACCTTCCACATCACAACCAAACATCACACAATATATTCAAAGGCCTCTACCTATTCGCAAACAACAAAAAATTGACCGACAGTTGTTAAAGATGATAGCTAAAGGTCATCATGCTTTTCGTATTGTTGAGGAGCCGGAATTTAAAAATCTCGTCAGCCTCATTTCGCATTGTCCTAATTATGCTTTGCCGTCTCGAAAATCTTTGTCGAACAATCTCTTAGATAGCAAATACAATGAGATTCTGGCGAAAGTAAAGGTCAGCACAGAGGCTGCATTTGCTGTTTGCATTACAACAGATGGATGGACCTCCAGGGCAAATTGTTTCTACCTGGCCATAACAGCACATTATATAGAGGGTACTGAGTTAACATCAAATGTATTGGCATGTATTGAATTTAATGAAAGGCATACGGCAGAAAATATTAAATGTGCGATAAAAGACGTTACTGATGATTTTGGAATATCGCATAAAATACCATCCATTTTAACTGACAATGCAGCGAATGTGGTGGCAGCTGCAAAACTAACAAATTGGCGTTGGATTGGGTGCTTCGCACACTCTTTAAATCTTGCTGTTAAAAGCTCATTGTCGAATGTTAGTGAGATTATAACCAAAGTACGCAATGTTGTTACATATTTCCATAAGAGTCCTAATGCATGGAAAATGCTAGCTGAAGCTCAAAAAACAACTTGATCAACCCGTTTTAAAATTTAAACAGGATGTTGAAACTAGGTAGAATTCGACATATGAAATGTTTGAACGCATCAATTGTCTGAAAAGTTCAGTTATAACAACATTGTCGTTAACACGACCGGACTTGGCATTAACATTCGATGAATGGGCCATTATTGAAGAAATTCTTCCCATCCTTAAGCCATTTTACCAAATGACAGTAGAAATATCGGCGGAAAAAAGTGTTACGCTTTCAAAAGTTTTGGTTCTATTCAACATCTTAGACCGAACTATTGGCTCAACAACATCAAAAAATGGCAACATAATCACAATGCTCTCCTGTCTGCAAAATGAATTATGGACGCGATTTGGTGATTATGAAAATAATTACCTTTACGCAGAAAGCGCAATTTTAGACCCACGGTTCAGGAAAAACGCATTCAGTAACAATGTGTTGTATGAAAAATGTACTAGGAATTTGAGGGAAAAAATTGCAGCATAAGATTATCAAACATAGACAGTCATAGTCCAGCAGTCGCAGAAAATCCACAAAATGCCAGTGAACCCGACTTCTGGAAGTTTTTTGATGAAGACATAAATAGAACAAGGCCAGAAAATAATACTACAGCTGCAATTCGATAAATACCTCAATGAGGAATATATTAGCAGAAAAATGAATCCCTTGGAATGGTGGCAAGAAAGAAAAAAATATATCCTAGAGTGTATATACTTGCAATGAGACATTTATGCATATCTGCAACTTCCGTGCCCTGTGAGCGCACTTTTTCTGCAGCTGGGCAAATCATAAGTGATAGACGCACATTATAAAATCTTGGCAAGGTGAATAAGTTTGTGTTTCTACATAATAACATGTAGAATATTCAAAAATCAATATAAATATATATTTTCCATAGTGACTAAAGTGTGAAACACATTTGTTACAAAAAGTACCTTTGAACTATATTTCTTTATATTTTTAGAAATAAGTTTTTTGACTGAAAATTTACCAAACAAATCAATAAAAATAATTTTTCAATTTAAAATTTTTAAATGTCTTTTAAGTTATACAACTTTTCTTATCTGTAATGGCAGCTGACGTTCTTCAGCTAAAATAGATGGGAGATATACTTGGGGAACCGCATTCATACGATAAATTGTTGACTGCATCAGTATGAATCCATTCTAATAACAAAAATATTTTTCAATTATCTCTTTGTGATTACATATATTATTCAAATGCAAAAAAAAAAAACTTACCAATAAATATTTTAAGCAGGCATATTCGACTTCCGTCCATCCTCTTAAACAAATGATCCACTTTTATTTGCATTTTGTGCTCTTTGTACATATTGTGCCATTTTTTCACAACATGCAAAGAAAAACATATATGTGAAACAATTGAACTAAAAAATATTGGAACTGTTTGGTACAAAGGAACGAGATAAAGGAACTACTTCCTTTTTTGAAAAGGAACGATAAAGAGAGATCCGGTCAATGAACTAGATTGCCCAACTCTAATGGATTTCTTCTTATTTACAAAAACGGACACAAGCGTTATCTTCAGTCACATCATTTCTACAACCTTCCATCGGTAATTCACTTTTCTAAAATCTTAATGTTAGCAGACAATGTTAAACTTTTTTGTAATATTGAGTCAGGCGTCCAAGCTTCACATTTACAAATTGATCTACAATTTCTTGTGAAATGGTGTGATGTTAACGGAATGTCGCTTAAACTCAAACTGGATAATGTTGACTCTTTTGTGGATTTTGACGTTATTTTAGATGGTAAACTGCGCTTCAATTTGCTTATCTAGTAATGCGTCAATTAAGCGAAATCGTTGTTAGGGTTTATACAACGCTGGTCTAAGGAATTCGACGATCCGTATGTGACTAAACGTTTGTATATCAGTCTTATTTTAAATGCTATTCAAATAAAATCGAATCTGTCCAAACATAATTTATCTTATTTGCTCCCAGAGGGTTGCCTTGGACTACAGATGAAGCCCTCCCCCCGCCAATAAAGCAAACATATTAATTGTTGGGAATAGACCCAACCCGATGGATGACGACATCGACATGGATCTAATCGATCTCGATAAATAAAACTATTGATGTCGTCACAAAACTAAAAACGGCAATCTTCTTCTTGAAGCTTTGAAAAGTGGATCGCCAGATCAAAATTGTTAATTTTTTATAAAAAAAAAAAAAAAAAATTGACCGACTGAGTCAATTTTTATTTTGAAATAATAATTAAAGTTCTTTTTCTTTTGTGCAGACAACAAACGTAAGTATCGCCAGAATACTTTTGTGTTTGTCTGCAGTTTGCTAAATAATATTGTTGTTCGTCTTTGTGCAACAATAAATTCTGGCTCAAAATCTACTCAGTAGAATTTGAACCTCAACAAGTCCATAAGTACTGGAGCTTATACATGGTCCTTCGAGTCCAAAAAA